AGTTAGGGTATACACAATATTTACAAAAAAGTAGTAAGATTAATGAATAATGTAGATATATTAGAAAAACAGTGAAAAAATATAAAAAAAGAATATTATATAACGGGAGTATATATTAATGAAAAGTCATAAAAATGGAAAAAGAAATTTTTATTCTACTTTTACGATTTTTTGGATTTAAATAAGAGAAGTAAAGTAAAACAAGGGAGGCAATTTTGTACATTACAAGGACTGCCCTTATAGTTGAAGACAAAAAGATACCGAGTAAAAACTAAAATGAAAGAAAATGAAAAGAAGAAAACACAAACGAAGCAAGAGAGTAAGACATCGAGAAAGTTGGAACTTCGTATAGAGGGGAGTATGAAGTACTTAAAATGTTTTCGTTTGGACTAAAATTTGTTGTCTGGTCTGGTCTGGTCTGATCTTCTCTGGTCTGATTTGATCTGGTGTGGTCTGGTAAATGCCTGGTCTCTGTGTATTTTATAACTACGAAAGTCTGGTCTGGTCTGGTCTGATTTGCTTTGGTCTGGCCTGGGACTGAAAACGTTCCAAAAGAAAACATCCTTACTGTGTATTGCGGAAAATGCCAAAGAAAAATGGAAAAAGTAAATAAAAATTGGAAAACATATATCAAATCAACTGATGACCTGCTATAGAGAATTGTAATCAGGTAATCTTAGATTATCAAAAGATCATATGGAAAGAACTTGCAGAAAGTAGATTTGATGGGAAAAGCTGATTGCACATTGAATGGTAGAAAATAGAATGTTCATCTCATCTGTACATTTGATCGTAGCTCAATATATATACAAGAGAAAGGAAAAGAAGAGCCTAGAAGAGAATACAACTAACTAACTAACAATACAAGCTAGTTAAATAACAGACTATCAACCGGGAGTAAGTGCCATTGTGTTATCCTCTTCTTTCAGATTGTTCTTTTTCTTATCTTTCTCTAGTGTTAATAGCCCCCGCAAGCTGGAGCACATAGGTTAATGAGACCCAGCTTGAGATGAATGTCTTTGTAGTATGTGGGACTTAGGGGCTTGGTAAGTGCATCTGCAAGCTGTAAAGTAGATCAGGAGATAGGAAGCAGCTTGATCAATCCTTTGCAAACTTGTTCACGAACTGTGTGACAATCTAATTCAATGTGCTTTGTTCTTTCGTGGAAGACAGGATTAGATGCTATGTGTAAAGCTGATTGATTGTCACAATAAAGAAGAGCAGGAGTCTTGACAGTTGCACTAAGTTCTTGCAGAATATAAGTAAGCCATTGAATCTCACATGTAGTTTTAGCCATGGCTCTATATTCTGCTTCACAAGAGCTACGTGATACAGTTTTCAGCTTCTTAGTCTTCCAAGATATTAGTGAGTTTCCCAAATAGATGCACAAGCTAGTGATGGACCTTAGCTTCTAGTATCTGGGCAGGATGCCCAATCACTGTCACTATTTCCCTTTAATTGAATGGAAGAATAAGATGAGAAAAACAAGCCCATAGCAGGTGATCCTTTGAGATATGTAAGAACCTTTAGGGAAGCCTCATGATGCTTAGATGTAGGTTTGTCCATAAACTGTGCAAGTTGTTGGACAACAAATGTGATATCAGGCCTTGTGTTGGTTAGATATATTACTCTTCCAACAAGTCTCCTATAGGCTGCAGGATCAGAATAAAGAGGGTTGTTATCATGATGAAGATGAGTGTTAGGTTCCATGGGTGTGGATGAGGGCTTACACCCCAGGTAGCCAGCATCTTCAAGGATATCCAATGTATACTTTCTTTGATTTAGAATGATGCCAGAATTGGATCTGGAAATTTCAAATCCGAGAAAGAATTTTAGGTCACCAAGATTCTTGATAGTAAAGGCTTTATCAAGAAGCTCTTGGATGTGATCAATCTGTTGTAAGTCGGTTTCTGAAAGTATGATGTCATCAACATACACAAGTAAAGCAATAAAAGAATGTTGTTGATATTTGACAAATAGAGAATGATCACTCTTTGACTGACTATATCCACACTGAATCAAGAATGTAGATAGTTTAGCAAACCATTGTCTTCCAGCCTGTTTTAAGCCATAGATTGACTTCTTTAGTTTACAAACTTCACCAGTGAACTCATTTTCTAGTCGGCCAGGTGGTAATGTCATGTATACTTCCTCATTTAAATCTCCATGAAGAAAGGCAGTATTGACATCCAGCTGTTTAAGGCACCACTTATTAATAGCAGCTAGGGCTAGAAGTAGTCTGACTATTGTGAGCTGGGAAACTGGTGAGAAGGTTTCTTTGAAATCTATTTCTTCAATCTGTGAATACCCTTTAGCCATTAGTCTGGCTTTGTGCCTTTCAATGCTAGCATCTGCCTTGTGTTTGACCTTGAATACCCATTTGCATCCTATGGGATTCTTTCAAGGAGGTAGGTCAATGATGATCCAAGTACCAATGTTCTTCAAGGCTGTAAGTTCATTATTAATGGCTTCCTTCCAGTGATCATACTGAACTGCTTGTTTGAATGTGCGAGGTTCAGTGTGATTAGTTGTCATGGATAAGATGGTAGCTTTGTAGTCATGAGTTAATCAATCATATGAGAGGTAAGATGAAATGGGATAGGGTGATGTATGACTATCACTATAAACATGATTGATGAGATTACAGTGATAGTCTTTTAGGTAGGTGGGAGGTTTGTGGTATCTGTTACTTCTTCTGGGGTTATTTGCGTCAGTGAGAGTGGTTTGGGTTGATGTTTGATGTATGGGTGGTGTTAGGGATTGGGAGTTGGTAGAATTGTCTTGGTGATCTGTGCATGAGGAGTTGGTTTTAGGAGGAATAAAAACATCATCATATATGGATTCAGCTTGAATAGGAAGAGGTAATGTGTCTGTCTAAGAAGATTGATGTCTGAAATGATCGGGAAATATTGTTTCATGAAAATGACATTTCTGGTGATGGACAACTCTCTGGTTTGTAGGTTTAGAACTATGTACCCTTTGGTTTCATCCTTGAATCCCAGAAATATACATTTGAAAGTTCTTGCATCAAATCTCTTCCTGTTGTGGTTGATGGTGCTGGCAAAACATAAGCATCCAAATACTTTCAGATGATGTAGGTTTGGTTTCTTTTGATAGATTAACTCATGAGGTGTTTTATTTCCCAGTAGGGGTGTAGACAAAAGACTGATGATATGAATAGCATGCCTTATAACATAAGACCAGTAAACCTTTGGTAAGGAGCTCTGCAATAGTAAGGATCTAGCTATATTAGCTATATGTTGGTGCTTCCTTTCCACCACTCCATTCTGTTGAGGGGTGTAGGCGCATGAAGTTTGATGTATGATCCCTTTGCTCGAGTAGAATTGAAAAATGAGAAATTCTGGTCCATCATCACTTCTTATTGCTTTTATCTATACACTGAACTGTGTATCAACAAAAACAATAAAATCTTGCAAAGCTTTGGAAGTTTCAGCTTTGGATTTCATTAAGAAAATCCAAGTGTATCTAGACAGGTCATCCACTATTGTCAGAAAATATTTATGTCTATGGATAGAGGGAATTGCAAAAGGTCCCCAAATGTCCACATGCAACAGATCAAATGCATTAACACTATGAGTCTGACTGATAGGAAAACTGAGTTTCTTTTGCTTAGCTAGATGGCATATATCACAAACATGGGTTTTATTTAAAGTAACAAAAGGAAATTCTCAGGTATGTGTTGAATGTTTAAAACAGAAACATTATTAGTTATTACAAACTGACACAATATGATGATTGACAGGAGTTCTCAAGACATATAGTCCACCAAGAAGTTTAGCTATACCAATCGTCTTCAAACTCTCTTTCTCCTGAATCAGGCAAAGCTTTTCATCAAAAGACAACACACATGAGGATAAAGAGGCTAATTTTGGAATTGATAACAAGTTATAATTGAATGATGGTAAGAATAGAACATTACAGATGATGATGTTATCTGTAATGGGAATTGATCTCACTGTATCAGTGTATAGTTCAATTCCATTTGACAAATTTATTTTTATTCGTTTGACCTTGTGATGGGATGAAAATAATGACAAATAACAACATATATGATTTGTTGCACCACTATCCAAAATCCATGAAACATAATGACAATTAGAGATACCTTTGCTAGTGTTGCCATGAAAGATGTTTTATGAAGTAGTAGCCATCACAGTGTTGTTCTGAGAGTTGTTGTTCTGAACATTTTGAGTTGTGGTTTGCTGCAAATGGCTAATGAGTCTTTGGTATTGTTCTTGACTTATTCCAAAAACAGTGTTCTCAGGTGCCTTTTGATTCATAGGGGTATGAATTGGTTGATCATTCTGGATATCTTCTTCAGTGCTTACAACATTAGCACCTCTATTTTTTGTGAACTTGAAATTTGCAAGAAATCCATGCAATCCGTAGCATGTGTCAGATGTATGTCCACTTTTCCCACAATGATCACAGACCTTTCCAGTATTGGCATTTTTGTTTCCCTTGTAGTTAGGGTTATAATTTGATCCTTTGTAGTTAGGGTTATGATGGTTTCCCTTATATCCACCATTTCCCTTATTGTTTGGACCTGAGATGGCCATGATTTTAGCATCATTATCTTGACTGAATATTTACCTTTCTTGTTGTATAACCAGAGAAAAGACTTTACTCATGACAGGTAATGGCTTAATCAACATAATTTGTGATCTGATAACACCATAAGATTCATTCAATCCCTTGAGAAATCGAATCACTTTGTCATCTGATCTGTACTACTTTATCTTTTTAATTGCATCACATGAGCATTGAATTTCACAAGTACAAATAGGTAGAGGTCTGTAATTATCAAGTTCATCCCATAGTGTTTTCAATTCAGTGAAAAATTGTGTAACACTCATATCACGTTGTTTGAAATTCGCTATAGTTTCCTACAGGTCTGCAATTCTGAATAGGTTTCCCTGTGAGAATCTTTGTTAGGTCCCTGTTTTCTAGTCTATAGAATGTATGTATGGAAGATAGATCTGGGAATGAAGCTTTCCATTGAATGATGAAGAAGTTTACAGAATGATGAACAAAACTTAGCGTAAAACTTCTATCACCGATATAGGCTCTGCGGCACTAGGGTATGAGAATATCTGAAAAGCTTAACCTAGCCTTTCCCTTAAGGCATATATATAGCCTGACGGGAAAGGTAGGTTTTACAATCATTTGGGCTCCTTTTTCTAGGAGGCCCATACCTAAAAAGGTATAAAACCTTTTATTACAAATTGCCTTAAAAGGCCTATTCATTATTCTAGCTAATCTATTTAATTAAGATGCTAAATATAAAGAGCTAAGTAACATTGATCACAATTATAATGAAAATATCTCTAACAATCTCCCCCTTTGTGATCAGATGTTCTTGCTTCTTCTTTTCTTCACTTCTGAGCTTTAAAATAATGCTTTCTAAGATTGAGAGCATGCTCGTAATTTCTGAGTGATCTTCTATCATCGATTTGCTTATTGATGGCCTTCAGAACTTCATCAACTCTTTCCAGTTCTTTGATTTCTTTCTTTGTGGCTTCAGTTGATTTCTTGACAAGTCCTTCTCTCTTTGATTTCATTCTATTTCTGATGATCTTCAGCGTTCCGTCGCAGTATTTGTTTATTTCTTTGATAATCAAAATGCGCTTCTTTCCTTCATGATTCAGGTAGATGACTGAGGTTGAATTGTCGAAGATATGATCTTCTGGGAAGTCTTCTATTTCTGGTCTGTAAAGTTCTGGCTTTGTAAGATTCACTTTGGGATAATTATTTTCCAGACCCATCTGAAGATCATGACCTCCATAGTATCGAACTTGTCTCATCATGAATCTTTTTATGGCTTCAAATCCTTCTCTTGCAAGTCTATCTTTATGGACCGGTAGCTCTCTGCATCTCATAAACATTTGATACACGTCGTCCATATGTAGCAGAAAGAAATCGTTTTCTTGACAAGTGAAGGTTGATCCATCAGTTCTTTGTAGATGAAAGACCATGTATTTAATCTTCTCCAGGTACTCTTCTGTAACTTTCAGAATTGTTTGCACTGGACATCCGCTTGTTGCAAGATTATGATTCAGAATCTGTCGTCGTTCTCCAGTGGATCTATGTCCGAGCATGTACAGGTTTCCACCTCTGTCTCTACCTTTGAGATGATTGATGCCACGCATCCTGAGTTCTGTGTATGTCTTGATCTTCTCTGGTTTGCGCCAAATTCGTTCTCTGATTTCTTCCAGGAAGGGGTTCTTGATTCTGACGCTATCTTCAGGTTTATGAGTAGCCTTTTGCTTAGTGATAGATTCAGGCTCTTTGCGTTTTTCTCCTTCTTTTATTTCATCATTGTCGAGCCCAATCATCTGTGCATGATATTTATTTAGAAACTCTCTGAGCTGCCAACTTCTACACATTTCGTACTGCTCCGCCTCCACCCTAAGATCATCCCATTCTGTCCACTGGCGGGGCCATTTGTCATAGACTAGGATTTCTTCAAGTTCATCGGGTGTCTGATCATCAGGTTGGCTGGAGGGGGTCTGCTGTTGTTGTGGCGCTCTGTCAATGGTAACTCCGGGATCACTAGGATTGCCCGTTGACATCAGATTAGAACTAGGTTCTTTCTGATGGCCTGAGTAGAAAGGTGTACTCGAAGTAGCAACCTCAGGACTTCCACTCCATCCTTGGTCTACATCTATGAAAGATGAGCCTAGGAGTGTTGTTTCTAGCTCGACCGGGCTAGATGTGGGTGAGTTGGCTGTTTGGCTTTTATGATGAGTGGATGGTGGGGGCTGATTGTTCGAGGATTCAGGTTGGTTGGATTGCGTAGAGGGTTGGCTTGTTGACGCATCACGCTCAAGTATCCTTTGTCTCTTGTTCTCCCCCTCATGAGGATCCGAGTCATCGGGGTCCTCATGCGAACGTTTGTGACCGAGGAGACTATCACGGCATGAGCTGTCAGGCTTAAGGATCCGAAGAAGGTCTTTTTGTTTCTGGGTTAGGTTGCCTTCTTCGGTGGCTAGTAGTTGATCTAGCATTAGGTTCTCGAGTACCTCGAACGGTAACGTTTTAGGGTCAGGAAAAGGTGTGGTCGAAGTAGGGGAGGACACTAGTTCTGTATCCTGGGTTCCCCTTGAAATAGTAGGTGAGTGGGGTAGGGTTGTGGATGGTTCAGAGGTTTGTTGGGTAGGTATGATAGGAAGTGGTTGGGTTTGTTGGGTATGTGAGGATGTTGGTTGGGGTTGGATGATGTCATTTAGCAACGCCGGGGTGTTCCTGAATTCCTGTGCCCGAGCGGTTATTGCTTCGTGCACCCATGGTTTGATGGTGGAATCCAAGAAACGTTGCAGAATGACGGAAAGGTCGGTGGGGTCAGGGTGTCCGGTTACAGGGGTAGTAACCGTTGTCACAGCATCAGTAAAGATTACCGATGTGTGGCCTGCAGATAATGATGGAGATATCTGTTGAGCAGCAGGACTTCCGATCATCATTGACGTATCTCCGATCGTTGAGGACAAGTAAAGTGCACCTGTCGTGTGCGGTGGTGTGAGCAGTGTATGTGTCCTAGAAAATGTTGAAAATGTTGGGATGGTGGAAACTAGACTCAATGTGCTAGAAGGAGGGGTAGTGGTCTGGGGCGGAAGACCACAAAGTAAATCCTCAGCTGCTTCGTAGGGAGACAGCGAGGTGGGTATAATATCCCCAATATGTGAAACTACTACCTGTTGGGAGGCAGCAGAGTGGCTAGGTGAGGCTTGTGCATGCGCAGTTGGGCTGGATGCTGCGTCTTCTACTCGGAAACTGAAAATATCAGTTTCTGCACCTATGGGGTTAGCCCGGTTTATTGTGTCTAGGTCAGAGCAGCTGTCATACAAAGCTAACTCTTCTGCCAGGTTGCTCGCGGTTTGCACTCTTTGCACAGGAGTAGATGATGAGGCAAGTTCATGACGCACCTTGGAGCGAGTCTCACTGATGATATTTCCTTGAGTGTCCTTGATTTGGTGAGACTGCTCTTGTGTTGTAGCCCGAGAAAGCCTTATAACGAGTCGTCCTTTCTTAGCGCGGGCTTTCTCGACTTTCTTGCCCTTTGCATTGGCGTTGTCGTCGTCCTCATCATCATCATCGTTGTCGTCCTCAGCCTTGCTCCCAGAGCCCTCATCGTCAGCGTCTTGTGTTGTGGCTACGCTTGGCGAATCACGGGAAGACTCCTCAGCAACTTGGGGTTGGCCCTCAGCAGACGTAGTCTGATCATCATGGGGCCGACTTGCCACTGGTCTTTGTGGCTGGGTAGAACTCTCAGGACCCTCACTATCTCTCGGCTGACTCCCTGGGGTAGGCTCAGGGGGGTTTATCTGAGCCATAGGGAGTACGATATTGTTCTTCTAGCAGTAGCTCCAGACAGATGTATCATTCAGATTAGCTAGCTGCAGCAGAGACACAAGTCTGGTGAATGGTAAGAGTGTAGGATCCTCAGTCACCATTTGAATGTACTTGAGGGATGGAGTGCTGACGTTCTCAGAATCTCAGTAGATAGTCTTTGGTGGATAGTTGGAGTTGTTCTAGAGACACGTCGCATCAGCATAGAAAACCATCTCATATATGGTAGATGTTTGAATGGATCGATGTTTTTCTTCTTCCTGATGTCGTCCCAGATCAGCGAGACAAAATCGTCGTTTTTGTTGAATGCCACACCATGGAAGGCAGTCAGAAGATAGATGATACACATGTTGAAGCTATTGTGTTTGGCAATGCAGCACTTGTTCAAGGTTGCCATCAGAGTCCTCCATGGTCGTGGTAGTCTGTCGGGTTTGACCTGGGAGATGAGCTTGATCGGCATAGCATAGCCTAACATGATCATTTCTTCCATGATGTCTTTTTATTGGCCAGTTCATCGTATTCATCTTCCAATTATTAGCTCTGGCGGATGTGCTCTCGTCCACTTTCTCGATCTCATGATTGGATGATCTGGGTTAGTGTAATCTTGATTCGGTTGTGCCTCCGGGGTCTCTTGCGTTGCAGTTACTTCAGACTGATCATATTGCGGGGTAGATGGTTCATGTTCACCTTCATCATCTGAGTGCTCATCATCATTCTGAGCGGGAGTGAGTGTTACCTCTGCGGTGGGAGCATATAACAGGAAGGTCTGAGAATTTGTTGCGGTTGTAGCTGGTGATGCACGTGGTTGACTGTAAAAGTGCTCGAACAGAGAATCTAGTACCACGTGCTCATCCGATCTTGTCTCATCTCCCTGTCCTCCTACTTCAGAAGATGATTGAGCCGCTTTATCTTCAGTAGCTTTCGGATCAAGCTTCCCCCTAGCATCCCTATCATTCATAATGTAGCACTTGTAGTCAAAGACACGGAAGAAGGCAATGTCAGGGAGTTGCTTGAACACAATCTCATCGCGTGTCTTGTCAAATCGTCTGTGAATCACCATCCAATTCTTTGTGAAGCAAGCCGTGTTGATAGCTTCAACCCACATGAAATGAGGAAGCTTTGACTGTATCAGTATGGTTCTGGCTGCTTCCACCAAGATCTTGTTCCATCGTTCTACAACACCGTTTTGCTGTGGTGTTTTAGCTGCAAAGAACTGTTGTGTAATTTCCCGATCTTCGTAGAACTCGGTCAGCTCCTTGTTTTTGAACTCCGTCCCATTATCAATTCTTGAGTTTGGAGCACTTGATGCATGAACTCTTTGGTGTTGGTCACCTTGGTGTCGTCAATGGTGGCTTTCAGAATTCTCGCACCAGAGGCATTTCTTGCTTAGTTGAGTGTTCTCCAGAATTGTTAGAGATACACCTCTGGTGCTTCGGTAGTTTTTGTTCAGGGCCTTCTAAATTTTGCGCCTTGTCAAAACAGCCACCACGACATCATCATGGCAGGATAAGACCTTTGGTTCCAACTTCGAGTTGTTCTCCTTGATGGGTACAAGTTCTGGATCCTGTAGACGGTTCTGATTGGTACTAGTTCTGTCATAACATCCTTGGGTTGTCTTGCATTGATCCTTGATTTGCGTCAGGAGAAGAAAATGTAACTCCCCCTCAGAATGTGCAAGGTGTTGTTTGTCACCCGGGGAGTAAAGTAGAAAACTCCCCCTTGATATGTGCTTTCTTCGTTGTAAGGTACCAGGAGGAGTGAAAAAGAGACACTCCCCCTCAGAATAAGCACTTGTTGTTTCTTCTTGGCATGTGTTGGTGTTGAGGTGGGCATTTGTTGATTTTCTGCTCAGTGGGGTAGTATACATGCCAATACTCCCCTTAATAATGTGCACCAGTTGATTGCTCACAGCTCGTCATATCCGCCATGTGTGTGGAGCAATCGGATCAGGTACCACACATGACGGCCCTGCAAAACAGATTAAGTGTGTTTTGGTACCCACCTCCAGATGGGTCCATCCTTATTAGTGGTGAAGAGCTGTTTTAATTTTTGTTTGATGTGGGAACCTAAGCCAGCTGATTGAGAAGGATTTGACGTTCTTAGTTTCTCAGCTTCGGCCTTAGGAACCCATTGTTGTTTGAACTTTGGAGCGAGAGAGATTTCGTTAACAGTGAGTGAATGTTCAGACAGATGATCTTTTAAAATTGTTTCCTGAGAGAGCCTTCTCAAATGTTTAAGTGAGCGAACCTTGAGGGGATACCTTAAACACGGCAATTTGTACTCTCCCTCAAAGTTCACCTTCACAGCAGTTGATTTCTTTGGGCATCTCTGAACATTCACATTCTTATCTTTGATGGAGGA